AATATATTTTCCAGAAGGCTCATTACAGTGCCACGTTTTATCTACCAAAGGGAAAACACTCTAGTTCCTTATACGGTTTTCTCTAGAGTTTGGTAAACCAAAAAAATTTTTTCCAGAAGGGTCGCATTAGCATGCCCCAGTTTTCTACCAAATGGAAAACACCCTAGTGCCCTTTTCGGTTTCTTTAGGGCGGGGTATAACCAAATAAATTATCCAGAGAGGTCTTATTAGCATTGCCAGAGCCTGCTCTACCAAATAGAAAATACTCTAGTTCCCTTTTCGGTTTCTCTAGGGCTTTGAATACCAAATAAATTTTCCAGACAGGTCTCGTTAGCAGCGCCACAGTCTGGTCTACCAAACAGAAAACAACGTAGCTCCCTATTCGTTTCTTGTGGCTTGGTATACCACAGTCTGGTCTACCAAATAGAAAAGACATTAGTACCTTACTCGGTTTCTCTAGGGCAGTGTATACCAAATAAATTTTCCAGAGAGGTCTCATTTGCAGCGACACTGATTGGTCTACGAAATAGAAAACAACCTAGTTCCCTTCTCGGTTTCTCTAGGGCTGGGTATACCAAATAAATTTTCCAGGAGGGTCTCATTAGCAGCACCACATTTTAATCTATCGATTGGAAAACACTCTTGTGCCCTTTTCGGTTTCTCTATGGCGGGGAATACCAAATAAATTATCCAGAGAGGTCTGATTAGCAGTGCCACTGCCTGCTCTACCAAACAGAAAAAACTCTAGTTCCCTTTTCGGTTTCTTTAGGGATTGGAATACCAAATAAATTTTCCAGACGTGTCTCGTTAGCAGCGCCACAGTCTGGGCTGGGTATAACACATTCTGGTCTACCAAACAGAAAAAACATTAGTGCCCTAGCTTTTAAAGCATCTGTTGCTGAGTAGTCTAGAGTTTCTCAATGTAGAAATTAGGAAAATATCTGATATTGCCATGGTACCCTATGAAGTTTGTGGAATCAGCATTGTTGGGAGCTAGAAAAACTTATCATAGGACTGAACCTAGGATAACACCTCAGATCAGGAATGGGGTTCTCCCATACAATGAGAATTTATGTCCTGGTGAATGTTCTTAAAAGATTTAACATACAAGTAGTTTTAAGAATTTGCAGATTCTTAAAAGCATCTTGATAAAGAATTCTCCTCGACAATGTGTTGGTGGTATTTACATAATTTGTTGTAATGGATGCAACTTGTCTTATGTGGGACAGACTGGGAAACCTCTAGATGTTTGGATATCACAACATAAATATTCGATATGGACTGCCTATGTATCAAATGCGATTTTCAGCCATCTTTGAGTCTGAAATAACTCAGCAAATTGATTGAAAGCCAGAGTCATCGTCTTTGCTCCATTTGGCTTGAATAGAATATTGTAGAATTGGCATTCATAAAACATAAATGTTCATTATACAATAATAGTGGGAGGGTTATTCAAATTATATTGGATCCATTTAAACGACCAAGTCAATGATATGCATTTAATAATTCTGATTAAGTATACAAAGCTAATTAAGAAAGTGTAGCAATTTTAACATACAAATTTTGTTACTGTAAATCAAACACTAAAGAATAAAACATATGTTGGATATGCTCAAGATACATCTCATACAAGTCAAATATAGATCACACTAAGCAGATTATGAATGACACACTGATGATGTCTAAATTGATATAATTATACTGTGAGTCAGTAATGTTTAATTCATGTTCTAAGCTACTAACTCTCATAGCTACTTTAACGAGGATTCCTCAAATATTCTGGACCATAGTCAAACACTTCAATATTGTAATTCTTATCCCTTTTGTGTTTTCCTTTCTCCTCTGTGAATATATTTATTTCTTTGGTTTGATATAGTAATATAATGGAAATACATAGTAAACGCTGGAATATAGAAAGAGAGATGGTGTCTAATGTGATTTCTTTGCTTCTTGTTGCATCGTTCGTAAGTTCATAATTAATCATGAAAGCTTAAGGGCAGCTGAGGAGATCATAATATGTTTTAAAATACGAATATCGTTTTCGTTTAAATATTCAAATATTTACGTTCTTGTTATGACTTTAATGATTGTAAAATCATGCAGTCGTTTTATATTTCATTATATGAAGACTATTCACGAGTGTATAATTTTCGAAAGTTATGAACATAAATCTTAAATATTTCATTAATGTATCATTCTAAGATCATCGTATTACCACGAATATCTCTGTCAGTGTGTGCGTTCATCGAACTCTAGTGATCTGTAAACAGTTGAAGATACTCAGGCCAGGGTCATCAAAATGTGTTATTTAATTCGTGCGTCGTCGTCTTCGCGTATATCTGAACACAGTATTTAAGGAGCTTTCATTTTTCCTTCTTCAGGAGTAGTATTAGTAGTCAGAAAATATAAGTATAGAAGATTTTGCACGATTAATTAACACATCCTTGGACAGTGCTGTGTGATAATCCAGTGCTCTTTTTATATATGGGAAGATATTTTACTATCAAATATTGTGATGTGATATTTAATTATGATGCAGAACAACCACTGTAAAAAAAATAGTGAAATTCCAAGCGCTTTCGTGACTTCTTACATTATCAACTAACCAAGATGTTGACATTTCTGTGTATTATACAGTGCAGACTGTTTTAATTCTTATTTTGGTAATTGCAGTATATAATAGTGTCTAAATGGATCAAGACTTTAATGATGCTCATGTACTAGAGAGGCTGTAAACCTAGCACGCAAAATTGAAAATTATATCATTATTAAACATATTCTTCATTTTTTTTATTTACCATTGGTGCTTATTTTCACGTTTGCAGAATTAATACATTCAGTAACTTATGAGTAAATGTAACGTCATTTTCGTTCTTTCGTTAATTGGGAAATCTTGTATGTTATTCTTTTAATGAGAGAAACAACAATTTATTATAGAATTTTTTGTTGGTTCCACAACTGACCTTTAACTGATGTGGAAACTTGGTGATGAGTGTTGCTCATGATACAGTTGGTGGTGCAGAGGTTCTGGTGCTGTTCATGATGTTGGTGCTGACGCTGTCATTCTGGTGGTAGTGGTGACTTACCACTTCATAAGGTTGTTGGTACAGGGATTTCCTTTTCTATTGGTAGTGGTGTCCCCATTTTATTTTAAAGTGAGGCTATGTTAATGTTAAGGGTAGTGTTGAATATGTTATAGTGCTGTTGGTGATGGTGAAATTATAATGTTGCTGGTGGTGGTGTTGGTCAGGCTGTTGTGGTGAGGTTCTGATGTGACTGTTGGTGATGTTCATGTTATTTCGCGAGGTATTGATCGTTGTGGCTGTCGTTTTCCCGTGTTGATGCTGTTGTTAAAGATGGTCACGTTGTAATTGCCACTGTGTAAAGTGGCATTTTTTTAGTTTTTGTTGGTGACTTTTTTCCTTTAATGCTTTTGTTTTACCGTTTTATTATTGGTATAGGTGACATTGTTTTTGATACATGTTTCTGTTGCTCTCTGATGGTGAAAGTTCCGCTGTCTTTATGGCTGTTGTTGAGAGCGGTGATGTGAACCTTTTTTTATGTTATTGCTTATTTTCCTGCAACTGGTGTTGTGGTTGTGGATGTTTGGTCTGTTGATGATGATAATCCTGTTGTTGTTTCTGTTGAGACTTGTTGTGATTATTGTTGATGTTGTTGTCGTTGGGGTTGCTGTTGTCGTTGTTGTTGACGTTGTTGTTATTGGCGTTGTTGTTGGCGTTGTTGTTGGCGTTGTTGTTGGCGTTGTTGTTGGCGTTGTTGTTGTTGTTGTTGTTGTCGTTGTTACTGCAACGATATAGCAACGATATAGATAATATATATATTAAACAAAAGTACTAATTAACTTATTCTATTAAAATTTTACTTCAAAATACACAACTTCTTCAAAGCGCCGGTACTTTATATTTCTAACGCGTAATTATTAATAGTTGAGGAAATAAATCAATATTATTTGATAACTGAGACAAAAAAAAAAAAACACTTACTGTTTTGGAGGCAACAGACGCATCTGTAGCCTTTACAGAGTCCCGGTTTTATTAAGCCATCACAGTCACTGGGATAAGTACAGTAACCATAGGCTCTAGTGCACTGCTTCGATGGCTTGCATGGCTTGGCACAACACGTGCAGTTAGCTGTACAATATGCAGGAACTGGACGTTCATTCGGATTACAGCTCGTGTTGCAGTGACCTCCCTGGTACTTTTTGCAGGAAGGGCTAGTTGCACATGCTGTGACATAACACACTCTCATTATGTTTTAATCAGCTTTATTAATGTATTAATATTGGTATAATTACCGACAATATGTATAGTAAAAAGGACACAAATGTAACTAATGTGACAATTTATTGTGGTAACGTTTCGCTCTCCAGGAGCTTTGTCAAGCCGTTACAAACAATACATGGACACAGAGGGTATATATAGGCTCAGAGTGAGATGTAATACTAGTGGTAGTAGTAGTAGTAGTAGTAATATTAGTAGTAGTAGTAGTAGTAGTAATATTAGTAGTAGTAGTAGTAGTAGTAATATTAGTAGTAGTAGTAGTAGTAGTAGTAATATTAGTAGTAGTAGTAAATATGTATAACTGCTACTACTACCAGTACTTGTACTACACCTCACTCTGAGCCTATGTATACCCTCTGTGTCCATGTATTGTTTGAAATTAAAAGTTTTGGAAGGGGAAAGTTGAAAAAAATGTTAATTAGTTGGTTTTGTTTTTTTACAAACAAACTTTTATTAAATACATATTACAACCTTTTCATATTTTAACACCAAACAAAATTTTTAAAAAATTTAAAAAAAATTTAATTTTTTTTTTTATATTAAATAATTAAAATTTTAAAAACGTCCAATTTTAAAAACCAAAACAAAACCAAAATTAATTTTTAAATTTTTTTTTTTAAAAATAATTTTTTATAAATTTAATAATAAATTTTTAATTTTCCCCCAAAGGCAAAAAACTTCCTCTTGTTAAACAACAACTTCATTTTGCCTAACCCAACAAAAAATTTTTAAATATTTTCAAAATTTTAATCAAACAAACAAAAAATATTTTTTTTCCTGGTTTGATATTTAAATTATTAAAAAAACAAAATTTTTATTTGTTTAGGCAAATAGGTTCTTTTAAAAGTGAAGTTCTGCCTTCGGACAATAAAATTTTTTTAATTAAATTATAAAAAAATATATTTAAATATAAAAAAATATTAAAAATTTTTTAAAGGGCCGATTACCAACAGGGTGGCCCGAAAAAAAAAATTTAAAATTAATATATTTTAGAATTTTTTAAATAATTTTTAAAAATAAATAAAATTTTTAATCAGGCCGATTCCCCCCCGGCCAATGGCCCCGTTTTTAACCCTTCCCCCAAATTTACGTTTGGGGCAAGGGGGACCCACATTTTTAAATAACATTACCTTTCCAAAATAAAAAATTGGGGGGACTTACTTAAATTCATAAGGGCCACCCTTTTCCCTGGACCTTCACCTATTTCTTTAAAAAGGTTTTCTATAAACCAAAAAAAATTTAAAATAAGTAAAAATTTTTAATCTTTTTTAAAATAAAATTAATGGGGATTGGGTCTAAATTTGTCTTGGCAACACTTTTTGGGTTGGGGAAGCAGCTGGCCCCCTTTTTTTCCCCCCTTTTTTTTCCCCCCCTCCCTTTTTTTTTTTTTGTACCCCAATGTAAAAATTGGGTTTTTTATTTTTTTGGGAATTGTGCTCCAGGGGGGTTTTTTAAAATTTAAAAGTTTTCCCCCCCCCCTCTCTTTTCCCTTTCCCTTATCCTGGGAAAAACAAGCTGAGTCCCTTTGGGCCTTTTTAATTTTTTTTTGATTGTGGGCTTAAGTATTTTTTAACTTATTTAAATACAGTTAAAGTGTTTTTACTAACCTGGTTTTAAAATTTTATAAAGGGGGAAGGCAAAGGGTTATAACCCTGGGGGGGGGGGGATGTGGGGGGATTTTAAGGGGGAAAGGACCCTTTAATTTAAATCGACCCCTCAAAATAAAATTTTTAAAGGGGTAACCTGTGAAAAGCTGGTAAAAGGATATCAGAGACACTCAGGATGATCACCCAATTTTAAAGTATTACCCCTAGAAGATAAGACCATTAAGTAAAAAGCTCCCCCACACTAGAACATTTATGAAAAACCTTCTATCAAAGAAAAAGGGGACATACTAACAAACATGGGGGCCTGTCTGGGAGATTTATTTGACTGCTAAAATAACTCAAAACATTTTTTGAACTATATGTACGGGTAGGGGGAAATAACGTTGCATTTTGGGGTAGAAGATTACCAAGGTGGGTCAGTGGAAGTGTTTTTCAATTATTTACGGTTGTTTTTCCCCTAAGGGGGAAAAAAGGTTTGGAACATATTTTTTTGTGGTTTGGTAATCTATTGCATATTTTACATTAAAATTTTGGTTATTTATGTCCTGTGGAAAACTTTGTCCACTGAACGAAAAGGGGAAGAAAGTTTTAAAAAAAAAAACTAGTCAAAAAGATGGTCTTTAAACTTTTTAGGCTTCAGGGAAGAAGGTAAAATTCATCATAAAATCCCCTGGTAACAGGAACTGGGGGATCACCACTCCATGAAAGGGAAAGGAAGAAAAGACTTAAATTAGCAGTGCTAGAGGCGAAATGAAATTAATGAAACTAAGGAGGAAAACGTTTTTAGAAGGAAAAAAAAACAAAGCCTAGCAGGTACTTTAAATAAACTAAAGCTCCAAATTTTGTCCCAAGTTTAAAACAGAGAGTGACCCGAAGAAATTTTTTTCTTTTTTGAAAAATTAGAAGGAGGGCTCAAACAAAGGGGGGTCCCCTAGTTGACAAATTTTGGGGTAAAATTTTAAAGGATAAGACTCTGGGGGGGAAAATTTTTTTTGTTTTGTTTAAAGGGAAGTTTTGCTTTACCAAATATACCGAGAATTAGCAAAAATTCCCCGGAAATCAAAAATTTCGGAGGCAAACCAATATTTGGGAAGAACGTTTCCTTTTTAAAAAAATTTTTGCCCCAAAGGATTAAAAAAAAACAATTAGTTCGATGGTTCTAGGTTTTTTAAACATCAATCCCTTTGTCAAAATTGGGGAAAAAAAAGTTTTTCAGGGCACGGAAGGTGAAGATTCTTGGAGGAAAGGTAAAAAAACAGTCAGTCCTCTGAAAATTTCTCCCCACCCCAAAACCACCCAACCAAAATGGTAAAAAATACAAGAGTTTTCCTTTTAACGAACAAAGGACCCCAAAATGGAAAAGGAAGCCCAAAAGGGGGGGGGCCTCAAAGTTTACCTAGAAATAGAAATTTTTTTCGTTCGATAAAACCCAGTTACCAAAAAAAGGTAAAAAAATATTTTAAAAGTTATCCTTTCTACTGTCAAAAATGACCACACAAAAAGTTTTTGCTGAAAGACGGCAATAGGAAAGGGAAACCACCCCGGGATTAACTGGGCCCCGTTGTGCATTAGGCCAAGGCAAGGTGAGGGGGGAAGCTTTGGATCTAGCCCCCAGGATGTGTATATTTTCTAGTAGGTCCACATTTGGGTTTGCAAAAGGATTGGGCAGAGTTGAGAACATATTGTCCTTAGAACATATTGTCCTACTCCTTGCTACGTGCAGGAGTGCTCCCAGGTCTAAGTACCTATACTGGGGTAATATATTTTTTGAAGGAAATTAAAGGGGTTCAACCTAAGAACCCTGTAAAAAATTTATGGGTAAAAATCTCATCCCAAATTTGGCTTCTCCCTGGGGTATTTCAGATGAAATTCCTTCGAAGGGGTTAACCTCTTATTGGGAACAATTTTAGGGGCTGTTAGACAGTGAAAAACCACTAGTATGGGGGGAACCAGACCCCAAATTTTGGGGGAGAAAAGGCTAGGAGACCCTCCCAGCCCTTTTTTCCCTTTTGGTGCCACACAAGAAGTAATTCTCATGATAGGTACCAGGAGTAATCCTTATTTTTCTCATGAGGATGTGAGGACTTAGGTTTGGAAACTTTTTTTTCCCTGATTTGAACCAGTCAACTGAAAAAAGGATACCAAAACCCGATCAGCCTAACTCAGAGATCAGGGAAGATGTGAGGGAGATTGGGGCCTACTTTGATGCAGTTAATTGCTGCACGGGGGTTGATGCACTCTTAAGTCGATCAGAGCCTCGCTTGACTGAAGAGGAACTTTAGTTTAAAAAAAGCTTCTATTTCAGGAAGGTATAATAATGAAAAAGGGCACCTTTGGGTACAGTACCAGAGAAGGAGAGCCAAGTTTTTGTCACCGGGTTGTGGTGCCTGAGCCTTACAGAAACCATTTCTTACTTAGCCATACACACCTTTAGTGGACCCTAGGTATTGCTAAAACAGTATCCGGGGTCCAGGCATTTTTGGCCTCGGCTGTGAGAGATGGTAGGAATTAAAATAAAGCTGTCTGTCGCCAAATTATAGGGAAACCTAACAAAGCTTAAACCCCTTTCCCCTTCACCATTTTCAGCACCAGTGAACCCTTCAGCAAGCTGAGTGGATTTGTTGGCCCACTCCCAAGGACCAGAATGGGAAACAATTTTTTACAACGTAATTTGTTCCACTACCATATCCAGAAGCAACCCCCTCTACCCAAGACAACACCGAGGGGTTTTAAGGGCTTTGAAATTTCTTTTCCCATTTTGGGCTTTCCTCGGGGGGTACAAACAGATCAAGGGTCAAACTTTACCTAAAAATTATTCGGGGAATGTGTTAAAGGGGTTAGATTACACCCAAATTTTTTCACTGCCTATCACCCTCAGTCTCAGGGAGTAGTAGAGAGATTTCATAAAACTCTTAGACTGTGCGGTTTATTGTATGAATACACTATGATTGGGATAGGTACCCCTTTCCTTGTTTTTCCATGCGGAAAGCACCCAAAATCTCTCAGTTTAGGGCCCCTTTTGAGCTTGTCTATGCCTCCCCTGAGGGGCCCAGCTATTCCAAGGAGCATTGGGTGGCGGTGAAAATGAGGATTCCCCGCCGGAAGATGTTCTCTTTTTTTAGGAAAATATTTGGGCCCCGGCGAGACAGAGGGGGCAGACAACTTTTAAAGCTAGTCAGAGGGCCATGAAGCAGGGTACAACCCCAAAGGGGGGCTCCCGCTCCTTCAGTGTTTGGAAAGGGAATTTGCTTTGGGGGCCATTCCGGGAAAACCTTGGGGCACTATTTGATGGACCCTTTGCACACAAGGGAGGCTGGTCCCCTTTTTTAATTT